TCCTTCCATAATTTTAGTATATATGTAAAGATTATAAAAATATATATTTTATATGCTTTATAACTTCATAAAATATTTTATAAATTTATAATTGTACTTTATACATTTACATGTATAAAACATATTTTATGTATTTTACTATTTCATTACCTTTTTAACATAATATATACTAGACATTTTAAACACTTAGACATTTCCACAATTTACCTACATGAAAGTTTCTTTTACTAGTAGAGAAATTGAGTACCTCAAAAATTTGTTGAATGTGACCAGGTGTGGTGGCATGTGCCAGTAATGCCATCTACTCAGGAGGCTGAGGTGGGAGGATTGCTTGAGCCCAGGAATTTGAGGTTGCAGTGAGCAGAGATGATGCCACTGCACTCTAGCTGCGGCAATAGAGATCTTGTCTCAGGAAAAAACATTGTTGATTGAAGACCAAGAGGGATGCCGATTTACCCTTCCAACTGAGAGAAATTAACGTGCAAAAAAATACTCAAAAACAGTTTTTAAAACATTGGATATCAAGCCATGAGAAAGGTGATCCCTGGAAGAGTGGAAGCAAACAAGGGGGGTCGTAAATTTCTCCCAGTGTTTCTGCTAGTTTCCAAGGAGGGAGAACTCTGTTACAACTCTGAAAGGTATAAGCATCTGTGCCCAGAGACAGACCTGGAGGGAGCAAAGAAGTTTGGGTCAGGTTTATTGAAAGGGGACAGCAACCTGCCTGGGCAGGGTGAAGAAGGCATATGTGCCTTGGGACAGTTAGAGACCTTGTTTATATGGGTCTCTAGGCGGTGGGCAAAAGCCACAGCTTGCTTGGAGGGCTTATTTTTTTTTTTCTTTTTTTCAGTTTTTGGCCAGGGCTGGGTTTGACCCTGCCACCTCCGGCATATGGGGCCGGCTCCCTACTCTGCTGAGCCACAGGCACCGCCCCTCTGTCCTTTGTTTTAGAAGAAGTGGGGGAGGCTTTGTGTAGGGCCGCATTAGGTTCCCCAACAGCCTGGTGGTCTTCCTAAGTCAAAAACATGAATTTGGGATGCCAGGCAGGTCATGGCAGCAAATGTTCAAAGGGTTTTTAGACTATCTATGAATTGATACAATGTTTCATAAAAGTATATTATAATAAGTTACATATGTCCACCACGTGAAACAAAAGACTAATAAGACTACAAAAGTTCCTGACCCACAGAATCATGAGGAATAATAAATTATTGTTTTTGAAACCACTATGTTTGGGGTGGTTGGCCATGCAGCAAGAACTAAAGCAGGCGGTCTGTAGACTTTTAGACGGTGTTGTTCCCAGAGGCCTGTGGGTAGGGCAAGCAAACCTCTATTTGGAATGTGTTTCATCTTCTGTGAGGATAAATTGCTGCCCCTCCAGCGTGGAAGGGTTCTGATGTAATTACTAAGTAGTTTCCTAGTCCTCTTGAGTAATGATGCCGTAGTGAACGTTTATATCATTTTTTGCTGCTGCCTCTTTGTGGTGGGAAGCACAAGTGGTTCTGTACTTTAGGGGGTACGCTCCATATTGTCCTGAACCATGGAAAATTAAAAATTCCACCAAGTTGTCTAGTTTTTCATTATTTCCAGTTCTTACTAGTCAAGGGACACCCTGTATGGCTGTCTGCCTATCTTACTTCCAGGAACACTAAGGTGTATTAGCTAGTGCCATATCCTCCTGAGTCAAGGTGAAGTGACTTGTCCCCACCTGATCACCACATCCCTACAGTGGAAAAGTGTGATGTTCCTTGCAATGTTCCTGAGAATGAGATCCCCGAGAACTATATTGCAGCAGAAAGCCTAACAGTCAACATAGCCCTGGGGCTACAAATGTGTATTCTTGTCATTCCCATATAAAAGTAAACTCTTTAATGACAGATTAAAACAAATATTTTTGCTGTATTAATAGTTACATACCAAGTGCTAATAGGTGTGTTGTTCTGTTCTAGTTATAATATTATAGTTGACTCGCCAGCTGCAATTGGGGGAATACAGGGTTACATATTCCCTGTCGTCTACATGATTTAACTGGTTTTTACAGAGGACATATGGGTGAATTGAGTGTTGGTATGATGGAGACCAGTCTGTATTCTTTAAGTCTTTGAGGGTGGTGTTAATCTCAGTAATTGCCCTATTTTGTCTGGCTGGGGGTGGGGGGAGGTGGTGGCAATTCAGGGGTCTCCAATTTGCTTTTCTGGCTGCAATGAGTATTATTTGATACAATTAATGATATTTTTGCCAATTTTTAAGTGTTTACAATCCACTTATGTACATAGGGACTGGAGAAATAATCTCAAGGTTAGATCTACAAAGCCAGTGGACCCACCATGAAGTTGACACAGTCTGGGACTCTCTTTGTCGGCTGGCCTACATAGAATCTGTTGTGATGGTCATGATGGTATTTTGAGACTCTACACTAGTGTTAGCCCAGACCCTCTCTTCAACAGCTCTTAAATGGGCTGCTGTTCCCTTTTATGAAGTGTGTAATTACTCTGATAAGAAGCTGCAGGCACCCTTGGGAAGAGTTAGTGTTATTCATTATCAATACTTGTTATGGCATGTGACTGTACTCTTGAGTCAGTGAACTGGCTTAGATATAAAGACTGGATGAATAATCTCAATTTCCCTTTGTGCTTATAATGGCTAATTTTATGTATCAACTTGACTGGGGAAAGGGAAACCAAAATAATGGTAAAACATTATTTCTGGACATATCTGAGCAGGTGTTTCTGAAAGAGATCAGCATTTGAATCAGTAGCCAATGTGGGTGTGTGTCATCCAATCCATTGAGGGCTCAGATAGAGAAGAAAAAGAGGTGAAGAGTGAATTATCTCCCTCTCTTCTTGAGCTAAGACAAGTATCTTGTCCTACTCTTGGCTATTAGAGCTCCAGGCTCTTATTTCTTCAGATTCTGGGACTTAGACCAGGGCCCCTTGGTTCTCTGAATTTCAGACTTGAACAATCCTCTTTTCTGGTTCTCCAACTTGTGGGTGACAGATGGTGGGACTTTTTGGCTTCCATAATAGAGTATGAGTCAATTCTTATAATAAATCTCTGTCTGCCTCTCTCTCTCTATCTCTCTACATATACAGTCTTGTACCATTAATGACATTTCATCAATGAAGGACTGCATCATACAATTATAATATTATGGCCCCATAATATTATAATACAATATTTTTACCTTTCTTATGTTTCAATATGTCTAGATATACAAATATTTATCATTGTATTATAGTTGCCTGCAATGTTCAGTACAGTAATGTGCTGTACAGGTTTGTAGCCTAGAAAGTACATGTTATACCACATAGCTTAGGTGTACAGTAGGCTATACTACCTAGGTTTGTGTAACCGTGCTCTATTATATTCACACAAAGCCATAACTGCCTTATGACACTTTTCTCAGAAGACATCCCTATCATTAAACAATGCATGAACAAATATAGCCCTGGGGCTAGGAATGTTTATTACTGCCATTCCTGTGTAATCATATGCTGTTACTAATGGGGATGGAGAGGAAGTTTTTTTGCAAGGGGCATATCAATAGCTGCATACCAAGTGCCAATAGGTGATGAGCCACCTGGATTTTACAGAAGACACAGGTGATTTGAATGGGCACATGATAGAGACCAGTCTATACTACTCAGGCTCTCAGTCTGATTCTCTCTCTCTTCTCAACCCCATCTAATTTGTTGTTTCTCTGGAGAGCACTGACTAATACAGTGTCATTGGACATAGGCTTTGTTTCCTCTTAGCCTACTGTGGTTATGTTGCTGTAGAGCCACATGAATCAAGGTTCCTCTGACCTTGAAGCTCATTACTGTAATTATATCCACCTTAGCTGTGCTGGTTATATGAGATCCTATTAGCTCCTTTTATACTAAAAAGTCCCATTACCTGGCATCATCTCCTGGTGTCAACTCCAGTTTACAGACGACAGGTAAAAGTGAGATTCTGAAAAATATCAGCACCTCCTCACCAATGAATTTCTCAGTGCTTTAGCAAAGAGAATGTCATCTGAGTTGTGTGGGTAACATAAAGAAATTTACAGCTGTAAAGGAAATCTTCACTCTTTGTTCCAAGAGAAAGATGACTCTAAACCACAAGAGAATGTTGTCAACGGAGAAGACTCCTTTCCTTAAACCAGCATAACAAACCTTAGTCTAGTTTACCACCCTTTTCCTGGTCACCCCTTTAACTGGTCTTTCCACACCCTTCTTTCTCTGTTTTCAGCTGGAGATGGTATTTGAGTCTGAATTATGAGTCCACTCTTGGAGAGTTACACGTCTCCCTGGGTATCTGCAAGGGTGTGTGTGTGTGTGTGTGTGTATACATACATATGTATATATGCCAATGTTCTGTGTGCTATATGTATATGTGCTAATAAACTTGTTTGTTTTTCTCATTAGTCTGTCTGTGTTACATGAGCCCCAGTTAAGAAGTTAAACAGGTAAACAAAACATTATTTTTCCTCCCTGAACATGTAAGTACGTCATGATGTCCTGACAGACTGTCCCCAACAGAATCGAAACCTATCAGTGGCTTTGGTGTCCAAGCAAGGGATACCTCCATCAGCTGCACCAATTACAATGCCACGAATTACAAGCTGGAGATGCTATACACCCACCACAGGCTTCCTGATGCCACAGGATCAAAGGCCAAAAACAAACAAAAATACCATCTAGTATTCAGTTAGGTAATCAGTGACAAAAATATATGAATCACAGTAGCCTTCTACAACAGGCAATAATCAGTAATACAGTTTAATGGGGAAAAGATCACTTTCGCAGTAAGAACAAAAAGTACAAAAGTTTTGAAAATAAAAAAAATAAAGAAAGAAAAAGAAATAATGTCCTGTGTGGGAAGGGGCAGAGTAAACATTACTGAAGAACCTCCTAAATGGTCTGAATAAATGGAAGGCTATAATATGATCCTTTACAAAAAGACTTCATATTTTCAATTGTAACTTTCACTTTGAATTATTCAATAAGAGAATCTGATGAGACAATTTCCATTTTGATTTATTACAATTAAATGACCAGGAATGGCAATGAGAAAAATTTGGAAAAGGAGAGTGATATGGTGATTGCACATGAATGTACAGAGATTAGGGGGACCACCAGCACTTTGTGCCCCAAGCTGCTGAAGAGTCCCAAGGGAGGGCGTGAAAATGGGCTGAGTTAACATGATATGGGCTCAAATCAAAAATTGTTCCTGCTTGTTCCCTGAATTGCAAAAATTTTTTTGAAATTCTTCTCAAAGGTGTTTTCTACTTGAAGTCCCAGTCTGATGGATTTTTTGTCCTGGAAAGACAAAGACAATTATAGCCATTGTTTAATAAGCTTAGACTCCCTATGTCTCAGATAATCTGGAGCTTCATTTTAGGCTATCCCACATGTTAGGTGAGAATTAATCCACTTAAGAGGAGCTTCTGTTCTCTGATAATTTGCATTCTACCACAGGTGACATACTAAGACTCTGTCTCAAAAAAAAAAAACATGTTGCAAATGACTACAGGGCACCAGGTAAGATTCCTTGCCTATTCACTACTGATCTTCATCATAGATGAACTTTCCTCGTACTTTTTTTTACACCAAGACTTTAGGACTATTATTTTGCCTAAGATGGAATGTCAAATATACTCTTAGTTTAGAAAAGAAATGAAAAAAAAAAAACTATATGGAAAAGAAATTGTAACTAATTAAATTGTTGTAAGCCAGTCTTGGTTTACAAGTAGAAAATGTTATAATCCTACTAAAGTTCTTTGTTTTCTTCCTATATAGGCAAGACCTGAACTTTTAATTTCAGAGCACTGACTTTCTTTCTTTGGAGTCTGTTTTCCAGATGGCCATTCCCAGCTTTGGGCTTGAATAAATGCCATGCTTAATCAATTTTCAGAATCTTGTTATTTAAGGCTGATAACACCTCTGGTTTGCTGTTATTTTCCTCATGTGCACCACAAGGCTTTTAGAGGACTTCAGAATTTGTGCTTGGGTGGGCTTGCCACCTGATAAGGGCAATTGCAACATTTACCTGACATAAGAAGGTGAAAGGTAAAGCGACTTTAAAGTGACTTAATTGAGAGAAAATTGGAAGGGGTAAGAGCCACTTACCCTGTAAAATACCTTGTGGTTCTGAAAGATGAGGCGCATGTCCTCCACAAATCCCTTCACCTGGAGGTACATCTTCTCGTTCAGGGTTTCCTTGACTTTGTTTAACCACATGGGCTTTTCTGGACCCTGAGACCTACCTCTCTGTTGAGAAAAGGACCAAAGGGGAGGCTGTCAGCCTGACTTCAGGTCTGTCTTGTATGGACTCCACTTACTAGGGACTGAAGATTTATACCCCTTTTCTTATGTTAAAATTTTAACTCCCTGATGGTATTAGTAGGTGAGAGCTTTAGGAGGTAATTAGGTCAGGAGCCCTCACAAATAGGATTAGGGCCCTTACAAAGGAGGCTCCAGAGACCTCTCTCAATCTCTCAGAACACAGTGAGAAGGCAGCCATGTTGAACCCAGATAACAGCCGGCTCCAGGGCCTGACCATGCTGACACCCTAGTGTCTTATATAGTCATTCTTCACAACTGTGAGAAATAAATTTCTGATCTTCATGGTACCCAGTCTAAAAATTCATCAACAAGGTAAACATAATGGCAACTTGGACCATGAAAATTAGATCACAGATTTGACAAATGTCAGTTTCAAGGTTTTTATTTTTTTAAGTGTTACTCACATGATATGGTTCTGACTCAAAAGAGAGACTTTTTGCATCACAATAGACCTTCAAGAGGACAAACTCACATTTCTGCAAAAGATGGAACAGATTTTAAGGGAAAATCACCATACACATGCCCAGAGGGCACACGGGACTCCCAAACCTGTGGACTCTTTGAAACAAATGTGGAGTAAGGCTATTCTTTGGATTCAAAATTTTCTTTGGATACAGATCATAGTGTTAGGTCATGGATAAAGCACAACATGGGCCAGCTGTCTGCCTCTGGGCTCCATTTCTCAAGCCCTCTGCACAATTGTGCCTCTCTCAGACACAAAGGAGGAGGCTTCAGGTTCACGTTTCAACTCACCAACTGTTCCTCGGACAGCATCTGTCTCATCAGGACCTCAGATTCCTGATGACGTGGCGGGCTTTCTGGGCACCTTTCTTGGATAGCCTTCATCTCACAGAAGATGCAACTCCACGGATCCCTGAGCGGTTGGGCATAATGTGAGCATGGGCAGGTTTTGTGACTCAGCCCCCGTTCTTATGTTGCTAAAGTCCTCTATTAAAGACTGACTCCTGGCTTCCACCTTGTATCCAAATTCCCTCCTAGAGGCCTCTGTAGTACAAGCACCATTTATGCTCAGTACCCAAAGGCACATCCTCCCCTCAATAGTAGTGGCAGGGGTGACAGTCTGTTGGGTACTGTGCCCCAGTGAGTGATGGACTCCACTCACCTCAAAACTTGGGGTTCCCATCCAAGCCATTGTGAGCTTATCAGTAAGCCCGGCTTGCCACAATCAAGTTTTGGAAATTAATACCTCAAGCCATTGAGTCTTACTAAGTCACTCAGTCCACAGTAAAAATCAGGAGACCAGCTCTCATCTCTCAAGTGTGCTGAGTATGTACAGAGCACAAGCTACAGGCACTGTTTCCCCTGCAACTGCCTTCTATACACAAGGGTTCTGTGCTGCGGAAACTCGGAGCGGAAATCCACTGACAGGGTGTCAGATATCTTCCGTTTGCCCCAAGATGCTTCTCCAACCTTCTCTGCTGGAGTCTCTGTGCTGGGAGGCTCTTGACAATCAGGTGAACACAGTGACCCATTCTCGTGGTGTCTGTCTCTTTGGCCCCCCAGTGCTACCTCAGGGAGCCCTTGCAACTTGCTCATGGTTCAGAGATGGGGCTATACACAAGCTGAACTAAAAAGCTGATTTATGCTCTGCTTTTGCAGATTGCTCAACTGGTCAAAAGCAGAGGTTTACACTGATCCCATCAGCTAACACCCTGGGAGCAGGTGGATCACTTTAGCCTCTGATGTTATGGAAGGACAATACTCTACTGTCAGAGGGACAGACACATCCTGCTAGAGAGCATCCTCCTAGCCACCGCAATTCTGCCCACAACACCACCCACAGGCCTTTTTGATCTCCATGGTGTCCCATACACATCACCTCTACCAAACACACATTTTACACACAGGATTTCAGCAGTCACTGACACCCTAAGAATTCACATTCACATTTTTATCATGCACCCTGTGACCCAGAGTCAGCTGGATTGATAGATGCAGGGTTGCCTTCTGAAGGCTCATTGTATCACCAGTTTTATCAAATTTATGATGTTCCCAAAGCAGGTGGCATATGCTTTAAACCAGGGGTCCTCAAACTTTTTAAACAGGGGGCCAGTTCACTGTCCCTCAGACCATTGGAGGGCCAGACTATAGTTTAAAAGTACAGGCAGTGGCTAAGCAGGACAGGCAGCAGCGGCAAAAACACCCAGTGGGCCAGATAAATCTGGGCGGGCCGCATGTGGCCTGAGGGCCATAGTTTGAGGATGCCTGCTTTAAACTATCACCCACCATATGATGGCCTCACTCCATCAGAGTACAGAGGTCTGGGAATCAAGTAAGGAAGGTGAAGATGACACTTCTTACTATTACAGCTAAAATCCTTCAAGGCCTTTAACTTGAAGGAAGGGCTGAGGTTGGGTGTGTCTTACCTTTCAGGTTCCACAGGTGGGATGTGGCAGTTCTTATGAAAGGATCTTGTGCAGGTGTCACAGCAGAACAGCTTTCCCCATTTTCTGCACACCTTACATATATTGGAGTTTTTCTGCTAGAAGGGAAGATGATGTAGACAACATGGGGGACACTGAGCCTCCAGAACATGTGGCCTTTTCATGTACAAAGGTGACACAAATTTTTCTCCTCAAAATATTAAGGAACAATATTGAATACAGATTTCATAAGAAGACCTTCTGGTCTATAGCAAAGTTCAGGAGCTGGTGGCTGTGTGTAGGGCAAGAAAAGTTTTCCTTATGAAAGCAGGTACTTTGACAAAGAATGGGTAGCAACACAAAAGGATGAATTAAAGATAATCTGAAAAATTTATTCATTGACTTGCAAAACCTGGCCCAGGAACATACTGTCTTTCCTAATTATTTACATTGCATTATTTCAATTGATTCATTGCAGAGTGACTTACTGAGAATTTATGATAAACAAACTCCAAGCTATCACTGAATACTTGTTCCTGCCATTAGCTCCCCATGAGTTTAGGAAAGATCCTGAGGAGGGGTTCCCAGCCTGTGGGTTCTGTGTTTGAGGGCTTTGGGACTGTGGTAGTATTTTGGCAGTGGAAATAGAATCAGTGCACATGACAAGGTGGGCACCAAGGAGGACAGAGCTCTTTGGCTCTGGAAACCAGGAGGAATGTCCCCCCTCCACCTTAGCTAACCTGGAACATGAGGCATGGAGGCAACAAATCTAATGGCCAAAGAGTATGGTAACAGCAGCCACCCAGGGTGAAGATGAAGGCTCTAGTCTCAATTTCTTGGCCCATAAAAAAGCTGGTAACCTTGTTCTATATAAGGAAGATGGAAGGGCCCAGAAAATTGACTGGCACTGTATTTCTCACCAGTCTCTATGTGCACAACCTTTAGCCAGATTTAATTTCATAAAATGAAGTAAAAAAACTGACAGATTTGCAAGTAAGTATGGTGGCATACCTTGCACAGGTTATAAAAAGCAATAGAATCAGTCAAGGAAGGAGCCCACAAGTAGGCATGGGAATTCACACACACCCTGTTTTTGGTGATAATCTGTAGCTATAACACAAGGACCCTCACACATTATGATTTTTACATAATAGGACCACATGTCTGTATTAGAAAAACATCCAGAATGATGGTACCAACAGAAGGAGAGTGGTTTCAGGGGAGCTGTGTGCTGGGGAACTTGTTTGATGGACAGCATCTCTACACCTAGGTGACCAGCCTGGTCTACACCGTGGGTTGGAAGAAGGCACTGGCACCCTCCTAGGACAATCTAAGTACCAAGTAATGCATGAACTGGGGGCTGGCCCACCTGTGGACGGCTTGTTGGGAGTCTGGTGAGTAGTGAGGAAGGAGGGAAATGACCATCTCCCCTTCCTTCCAGAAACACTCTTCATGGTCCATAACATCCCATCCTCTTGTATTTCCTCCTAACATCTTGCCTTGTTTTTTTAGTTCCCTCACTTAGAATGTGGGGATTCCGTAGGGCTCTGTCTTCAATCCTCTGCTCATTTCTCGCCATGAATGACCACACCTACTCCCATGACCATGCTTACCATGTATATGTCTAGACTTTGTGACCTGAATCTCTGGTCTCCATTTCAGCCCCAAACATCCAAACCCTGCTTTTTGTCATCTCTAGTTAGATATCTTTCACCCTGTCTAAAGCCCCTCCTGACCCAAACCACATTTCTTGTCATCCCATCTTGAGTCTGCTCCTCTCTTGTGCACCCCCCTCTCTCCAGCCACCCACCACCCGCCCAGAAGGCTGGGAGTAAACACTGCCTCCCTGTTCCCACATGTTCAACCATTCACCAGGTCGGCTGATTCTAACATATAAATATTTCATCTCATTCTTCATGCCCTGGGGAGGTCTTATATTACTACCTTACCAGTCAAAGCAAGATGCCCTGGTATTTGGGTTAAAAATCATAATGGGCTATAATATCTCTCCTGCAGCCAATGAACTGAGGTGAATTGGGACATAACTCAATTTGTAATTTCTCTTCATCTACAAATTCACTATATGAAGAGATACAAAATTCACATACAGGAGAAAATTCTGAGCTGAAGAATTCATCTTTCTTATGTGCTTCCTCATGGTGGGAAAATCTGAGACCTGTGGGAGCATCCTTGGGAACATCTCTACAGAGGGCCCAAGGTAGCCCTGGCATGAGACCATGTAACTGATTTTCTCTTTTGTTATATAAGATGAGAGTCATGGAAGCTGATTGCTATTTTTAAGTTGTGGGGTCAAGGTTTATAAATCATCATCCTAAAAAGTACACTAAGTGGATCCTGAGAAAGAGTACATGACCCAGGAAAATCCCGTGTTTGGTGTTCTATCCCATGGGAAGCCTACAAACTTGATGTATGTCACTTTATTCAATTTAGCAAGAAATTCATTCTTCTGTTTAGCAGTGACTCTTAACCTGCTCTACAGTAGAATCATCTGGTAGTTGAAGAATCTCAGTTGCCTGGGGCCCCATCAGCAGAGATTTGACTCAGTTAGTCTGGGTGGAGCCATAGGCATCAGTATGTTTTAAATATTTCCCAGATGGTTCTAATGTGCAGTCTTTATGAGAGCCCTCTGGGGTCTAAAGCAGCGGTGTCTGGACCAACAGCAGCAGTATCACCTGGAACTGTTTAGAAACGCTCATTCTTGGGCTCCACCCTCACCGAATCAGGGGCCTGGGATGGGGCCCTGTCAGCTAAGGCCTTCAGGTGGTTCTCATGGACCCTGCAGATCAAATAGCAGTGGTCTACAGTGACTGACAACTTTGGCCCTGCTGAAGAACCACAATGGGAGCTTTGGAAATACCGATACCGATTTTAAAATGGCAGCTGAGACCAATAACCTCCCAATCTTGGGGATGGGACCCTCAGGTGATTGCTATGAATAGGTCAAGAAGTCTGTTCTAAAGGGGTTTCTCCTGAGAAAGGACTGGGACGTTATAGAGATATTATCAGCCTACAAATTTGTTACAGGATGGTTATGGGAAGAGGTGTTTCACAGAGGGCTTGGCTATCAGCTCTGAGAAACAGCCCTCCATGCAGACTCCAGAGATGGGAACTGTTCAACTACTGAACGGTCCCTGCTCACAGTTCCTTCTTGTCCAGAGGAACAAAAGCAGTCCAAATGGATCTAGGCTTTGTGAGAGAAGCACATTTGCTACCTGTGGTTGTTTTCTCTCACCTGGTGTCCTGCTTCAGTCCAGCTGCATGACCTTCTCATAGCCAGAGGTGCCCCCTGCAGTTGTGCAAAAAGCTGACTCTGCCTAAAACATCCATCTCACAGCAATGAATGGAATAAAACCATGATTTTGTCTAGAGAGGGGAATCATCCTTGACTTTTGGCAAGCAGGGAAAGAACCAAGCACATGAGATCAGAAGGTCTGTACATTACAGAGCCCCAGCTGAGCATCAGGAGTAAAAATGCCCCATCGTTTGGTAAGTGGTGATGATTTCAGTCCTGCCCAGTTCAGCACACTTATGGCTCCCTGAGACCACCACAGGGGGTCCTCTGTAAAGGATCCACGTGCTCTGTGTGAATTTCCCTGCAGAACTATGACAGGGTGCACACTGTGAATTCACCAGCATGGCCCATCTATTTCTTCTGGATGATGCCTAAGAGGGTCTTAGCTCTGCACCTTGGAGTGGATCTTTGGGATTTTCCTTCCCATTCCCACCATCTTCTTGAAAACACTGTTATCCTGTCACATTTGCTCCTTCCCCGATCAGCAGGCCAGCCCTACCTATTGCAGTCCATCTCTAGAGACCCCAATGGGCTAGAACTCAGCCTCCCATAGTCACTTTTCAAGGAAAATGAGGAAATGAAAAGGTTTCCATAGAAACAAATGGAAAGGATGATTTCACACTGAGACACCAAGCCCAGACCCATCCTCTTGGCTTGGGTGATATACCTGCTATACTTCACTCAGCACACAGAGCAACTTGCTCAAACTGAGATTATACTTCAGAAAAAAGCAGAAACGACACAGACCACCTGCCTGGGCAAAGGCCTGGGTCAGAGTTGGGAATTTATACTTACATAAGGGTCTGCTATGGTATTGTTGTGAGACTTCAGTATTCTCCGCTGAAATGAAAGAAAGATTAAATGACAATTATGAATGTGATTTTTCATTAACCATACATTTAAACAAACTTCTTTATATTTAAGGGATTAATGCGACAGTCCTCTTTTTGTTTTAATATCTACTTTTATGGGCCAATAGCTCTAACTAGAAAATTATAGCACTAAGTTATGCATCAGTTGTAGTCTAGCCCAAAGCAAGTTTCATGCCTGGCTCTCAGACCCATGGTGGCCTTTGTGAAGCCAGGCAGAGACACCAATCTAGAGAAACTCTATTGGTCCTCCACTTTGCAGGGAGCCCTCTATCAATGGGGGTACAAATATATTTGTTACATGGGTAGTATTTATAATGCTTTAGTCAGGGCTATAAATGTGCCCATCACCTGAGTAGTGGTCATTGTACCTATTAGATCAATTTTTAGCACTTTCCTCTTCATGCTTACTTCCTTTATATGTCTCATGATTTTTAATTATTTCAGTGGCTACATATACCCATCAATTAACCATCCAAATTATTATAGAATATATACAGTGTTTGTTTCTTCATTCTTGATATAGTTCACTTATGAGAACAGTTTCCAGTTCAGTCCGAATTAATGCAAAAGACATTAACTTGTTCTTTTAGTACTGAGTAATGGCTGAGTAATACTCCATTGTATGTGGGCACATATATATGTATATATACATAAATAAATATATCACATTTTTAAATCCAGTCATAAATTGATGGGCACTTGGGTTGACTGCACATTTTTTCAATTGTGAATTATGCTGCAATAAACATTTGAGTGTATGTGTCTTTTTGATATAATGACTTCTTTTCCTTGCATAGATACCCAGTAGTGGGGTTGTTGGATCAAATGGTAGGTCTAATTTTAGTTCTTTGAGAAACTCAAGGCTGTTTTCTATGGAGGTTGCACTAATTTGCAGTCCCACTAGTAGCATATAGGCATTTCTTTCTCTTTGGCATCCATGCCAGCATCTGTTGTTTATTGAAATTTTAATAAAAGGCATTCTGATGGGGTAATATCTCACCGTGGTTTTACTTTGCATTTCTGTGATAACTAGTGATGTTGAGCATTTTTCATATATGTTTTGGCCATTTGCCTGTCTTTTTTCTGAAAAGCATCTGTTCATTTCTCTTGTTCACTTTTCATGGAGTTTTTTGGGGTTTTTTGTACAAATTTGCTTGAATTCTTCATAGATCCTAAATGTTAACCCTTTATTGAATGGATAGGTTGTGAACATTTTTTCCATGTGTGGGTGTCTATTTCCTCTATTGATTATTTCCTTATTTGTGCAGAAGGTTTTTAATTTACTCAAGTCTCATTTATTCATTTTTATTTTTATGGTGATTGTCATTGAGGTCTTAGTCTTAAATTCTTTCCATGGACAAATACCTCAAAGAATTTTTCCTATATTTTCCTCTAGAATTTTTATGGTTTTATCAATTTTTGTAATTGGTGAGTAATATGGGTTCCTATTTCATTCTTCTGCATGTGCTATTTAGTTTTTCCAGAACCATTTATTGAATAGAGCTTTTTCCCCAGTGTATGTTGTTATCTGCTTTGTCAAAGATCAGTTGGTTATAGGTAGATGGTTTTATATCTGGATTTTCTGTTGTGGTCTATTGTCCATGTCTCTATTTTTTTATACCAATACCAGGCTTCTTTTGTTACTATAACCTTATAGTTCGAAATCTGAAAAGTCAATGCCTTCAGATTCATTCTATTTGCTTCAGATTGCTTTGGCTTTGGGTCTCTTTTTTTGGTTCCACATGAAGCCTAGAAAGGTTTTTTTTTTTTTTTTTTTTTTTTTTTGGCTCAGTGCCTATTGCTCAGTGATTAGGGCACCAGCCACATGCACTGGGGCTGATGGGTTTAAATCTGGCCAGGGCCTGCTAAACAACAATGACAATGATTAAAAAAAATATATATGGGAGTTGTGGCAGATGCCTGTAGTCCTAGTTACTTGGGAGGTTGAGGCAAGGGAATCACTTAAGCCCAAGAGTTTGAGGTTGGCATTGGCATTGATGAAGATAGGGTTGTATGTGTAAATCACTTTGGGAGGCATGGGAATTTTAACAATATTGACTCTACCAATCTGTGAATATGATGTTTTTCATTTGTTTGTGTCCTCTGTGATTTCTTTCCTCTATGTTTCATAAGTGCTTGTTGTAGAGATCTTTCACCTGGTTAGTAAAGTAGATTCCTAGGTATCTTATTTTCTTTGTAGTTTTGTTGTTATTGCTTTTAATGTTCTGTTGAATTTGTTTGGGTAGTATTTTATTGGGGTTTTTTGCATCTATATCATGAGGGATTTTGGTCTGAAGTTTTCTTTTTTATTGTATCCTTTTCCTGGCTTTGGTATCTATGTGATTGATACTGCTGATTCCCTCCTACTTGATGGCATAAAATAATTTCTGTAACATGGGTACCAGCTCTTCTTTGTAGGTCTGATAGAATTCAGCTGGGAATCCTTAATAGTCTGGGGCTTTTATTTGTTGCAAAATTTTTTATTACTGCTTCAATCTTGCTGTTTATCATTGGTCTGTTTGGGAGCTTTTTCTTCCTGATTGAGTCTTGGGAAGTTGGCTATTTCCAGGCATTTGTCCATTTCCTCTATGTTTTTTAGTTTATGTGCATAGATATTTTTATAGTATTCATGGATGGTGTTTTGTATTTCTGTGTTATCAGTTGTATTATCTCCTTTTTCATTGCTGATTAAAGTCTTTTCTATTCCTCTTTAATGTAACAAGAGATCTATCCATTTTTTGAATCTTTTCGAAGAACAACTTTGTTTTCTTAATCCTTGGTATTAGTTTTTGGTTGTCTGTTTTTCATTTTATTTAGTTCTGTTCTGAACTTTATTTCTTTTCTTATGTCAGCTTGAGTTTGATTTGCTCTTCCTTTTCCAGTTCCCTGACATTTGACATTAGTTGGTCAATTAGTGATCTTCTGTCTTTTTGATACAGGCATTTAAAGCTATGATTTTTCCTTTTAGGGATTCTTTTGTTGAATCCCATAGATTTCGGTGCCTGGTATCCCCTTTGTCATCGAGTTGAAAGAATCATTTGATTTCCGTCTTAATTTTCTTACTGACCCAATAATCATTCAGCAGCAGGTTGTTTAATTTCCGTGACTTTGTGTGAATTTGAATGTTTCTCTTGTAATTTATTTCTAGTATTATTCCACTGTGGTCTGAGAATGTACATGGTATTATTTCAATATTTTTGAATTTGTTGAGACATGTTTTATGACTTAAGATGTGATCAGTCTTAGAGAACGTGCCATATGCTGATGAGATGAATGTGCATTCAGTAGTTTGGGGGGGGGTAGAATATTCTGTAAATGTCTATTACGTCCATTTGTCCTAGAGTCCCTTTTTTTTTTTTTTTTTGAGACGGAGACTCAAGCTGTCCCTCTGGGGACAGTGCTATGGCATCACAGCTCACAGTAACCTCCAACTCCCAGGCTCAAGCGAGTCTCCTGCCTCCACCTCCCAAGTAGCTGGGATTACAGGCACCCACCACAATGCCTGGCTATTTTTTGGTTGCAGCCATCATTGTTGTTTGGCAGGCCGAGGCGGGATTCGAACCCGCCACCTTAGGTGTATGTGGCTGACGCCTTAGCCACTTGAGCCACAGGCGCCGAGCCCCTAGAGTCCCTTTTTAAGTCCAGTGTTCATTTATTTCTTTCTTTGATGATTTGTCCAGCTCTGACAGTAGGGTTTAGTTCCAGCAGTCTAAGGACCATGGAGTCTCCGCCATCCACTATTAGGTTCTGTTAAGATAGTTGCCCAGTGCTTCCCAGGTTAAGCCTATAGTACCCAATGCAATTCCTCTGCTCAGATGTGAGCACGCCATGGCAAGAGGTGCTTGGTTGCCAGTCACAGCACAGGGAAACATCCAGTCTGTCTGCTCCTTCCTCAGCTGGGGGGTGGAGGGCAGTGACTGCTGCAAAGCTGAGTGCCATGATGATTTGGCACACTTTACCTGAGATTTCAGGATGGCATCAGCGGCAGAAACATGGAATCTGCTCTAACAGATCCTTACTGCACCTATTTTCCAGGCCATGACTCTGCACAGACTCTAGGTAGCTCCCTGGTCAGTCAAGACAGAGGTCTGTGGCAATGGAGAGAGCTCTCCCACAACTCTACCATGGGGCTGAGAGGTGAGTGCTCTATCCTCCTAGTCTTCTTTACTGTAGATGTCTCCCACATTGCCTTTTGATTAAGTTGTATGAATTGCCCCACAACCTTCTCCTTCACTCCAGGTGTCTTTCATCACTTCCCTGGGGTTTTGCAATGTTCCTTCTGAGAAGAGCCATGCAGAGGTAAGCACCTGCTTGAGCTTATGATCCTTTCCTTGAGAGTGGCATAAGCCTGCTTCAAGCATGCCATCTTTTCTACTTGATTTTCCACTTTTTCTCAGGCAATTTTCTATAAATTACAAAGCATCATCCCATTCAGAGGAGCTCCAAAGGGAATCAGGCTGAAAATTCATCTCTTGCACCCCCAATGACCACAGGGCCCAGAGTCTGGAGGCTGTCCACATGTCCCGGAAAAGAACTCTACTGCTTTCTGCAGCTCCCCAGGAACAATCCCTGAAGATAAAATGTTTCCAAAGTCCCCAGTGCTGTGCATCTTCTTCTTGAAGGAAAGTACCTCTCTACTTTCTCCTGAACCCTAAAAGCTTTTGCTGACTTCTACTGGTCCATGAGTTCCACATACTATTTCCATGAGAGAAAATTCACCTTCATAGATGGAAGTGAGGTCTGTATGACATCTCTGTTGGGGCCAACAAGCTGCTTCACAATGGAAAAGATTTTCCAGTCAGCAGAGATATAGGGTATCTCTGCCTCCCAATCACTCTATTCTCAAGGGTGTCATAAAGGAATAAAATTTCCCTTAAAATTTTCCGTGTGTGTGTGTGTGTGTGTGTGTGTAGTGGAGGAAAAAGATAAAGATAAGAGAAAGGTAATGTGTCTTTTGTTGTTTGCTTCCCTGGGTGACATATGGCTATATACACATGCCAGGAGGAATTCTACATTAGGTCATCTGTAGTTACCATTAGATATTTCTAGGAAAACTTTTGCTTCATATTTCATTAAAGATAGTAACTAGGAAGTTCAATGACAATCAGTATTTTAAGTTGAGGTTTCAAAGGCAGTAGTTGTTAAATATATTGTTTGGTGCATTTCAAAATCATGCTTGCTTTTTCCAACTCCAGATCTGTCTTCCATATTTACTTTTTTTTTTTTATTAAATCATAGCTGTGTACATTAATGCAATCATGGGGTACAATGTGCTGGTTTTATATAAAATTTGAACTATTTTCATCAAACTGGTTAACATAGCCTTCATGGCATTTTCTTAGTTATTGTGTTAATACATTTATACTTTTAAGAAAGTATGACATACAGATCTTTTACTAAATCACACATACAAGGTCAATTCTGTCTTATATATTTTTAAAATTAGTTAGGTCTCTATATAAAATGTTTAATGGTCAAAGAAGTTCCAGCCTTCTACATTATGTTAAGAAGCAGCAACTGCAAATCCACTATTTATACAGGGACATTTTTTCATGCGTGATCAATTTAAAGACTATATGGCTACAGAGGTGAAAAATCAACAATATGACACATGAGACGTGAACAGAAAATCATGTGATAATCACCCCTTTTCTTGATCTTGGTGGTGGTTGTAGACCTCCATTCTGAAAAAGAAAAGAGATTAATGATATAATGGGTCTCTGTTTTTATTTTGTGAGCATGGTATTTCTCTCTCCTATTAATAGGTATTTCCACCTGGATATCCCACTGTCAACTCAAATTCTAGTGATTAAAGCAAGTGTGTAGGCTCCTCTGGCCTCATAACATCTACAGTTAATCCACTGAGTGTATCAGTCTCATTACTCACAACTTACTGACATTTTAGGGAGCAGATGTTCATGCCATTCTTTCTTGTGAATGTAGAATGCCCTGTTTTACATTTTTTCTTACCAGAACGGTTCTACTTTTAAGACCTAGATAATTGAAAATTGTTCTAAGAAACTGTCCTCAACCTCAAATGCAAAAGTGACTTTCCTTCCTACTGTATCTCTTGCTGTGGTATCCTGTTTAGATCATCGGCACAGTGCAGGCCTATGTGTGTTAAAGCACAGCCCTCTTCCTGGGTAGAGTCTCACATCTGTGCTCCCTCACGGCTTTAGATGTAACTCAATAAATATCTGCTGCACAAAGACCTTTTCTTTATTGCTAGAGTAGCACAGGGAAGGACTGTCTGAGGTGTGCGTCAGAAAGATCCCTGCATCCAGAGTCAAAAGACACAGGTTCATCTGCTGCAAAGACCCTGTCCCTGCTTTGTCCACATCAGGTGATTGATAAGAGGAACAAAGGAGTCAATTTAAAATTTCTTTGCATTTTCTTTCAATAATAAATTTGAGGAGAGTTATGAAAAGAAATATTATTGAAATGTTGTATAATCTAGGAACTACCCATCCTGATGTATTATTTTTAGATATACAATTCTATGTTATTTTTAACAGTGGCACCTAAAGTTTAAGATCTCCTCCCTAAAATTGAAGTTACTTTCACATGACCAAATATGCTATTTGTTGCAGAGTCAGGGCCACAATTCACTGTTCTACCTTCAAAAGGATATGGCATTAATGCACTTAGAGGATTAAGCTGCAATATAAATCATCTATGGTCAATCTTGGGGGAACGTTCCTAACACCGCATGCATTGGGACCTGGAAAAGGGGAGTCATGGTGGTTTTCTGGACACAAAAATTCTGCTAAAGCTTGGTGTTGGTGAATTGTGATTGCCAGATCCTTGATTTAAGCTGTTTGTCACTAGCGTACCTCTATCAGGTGTTTCAGGGGATATCCACCGCAGCGTATACTTTGCTTCCAGTTTTTGAATTTTGCACAGCCTCCTTCCACTTCAAATTCCCTGGGGGTGAACCACCTTCCATCCTCACTCTGTATACACTTCTCTGAGCTTCCTGTAAGACCATAGCACAATGAGTTCCCCAACTGTGAAACTTGTCCTCCCACCACACTGGATCTGGATCCACCCACTTTGAGCTCAGAATCAGTAACAGAAAGGTCTGAACTCTCCTCTCAGACCTCAGGGGCCCCACATCCAGGCCGAAAGGCCAGGGAAAAAGCAGACTCCCTGCCATGTGTGTATATTTCTCTGGCCTTCATGGAGGGAATCCTATGTGACTCTACCAGAAAGGACTCAGGCAGCTTGTCCCTGGTTCCCTCTGAACTTTGTCCTCCTTTCCCCGACTTCTCCCTTTTGCAGACCTTGCTTTGCATCCTTTCACTGTCATAAACCTGAGCTGTGAGTGTGACCAAGAGAGCTCCTAGAAAATCAGACCTGGGGCTGATCTTGAAGGCCCCCAACTGCTCCTCAACTGTATGCTATTTGCATGGATATCTCCCAGTTGAAAATCCTAGACCAGGAAACTCACCTTGTTTCAATTTCTCCTTGTATAGGTTCCCCTTCAGCTTACCACAGGTCACAGGAAGTTCGGGAAGTTGAAAGTTCATATTTTTATCTCTGGGAAATCTCGAAACTGCAAGGAAGGATTTTTTTCATTCCATCTTCCTCTATAACTGGGCACCATCTCTCCCACTCATCTTCAGATCCTTCTTGCACAATTTTAAATGGTTGGAGGGAGTTCCCCCCATGAATTAGTAACACTTTGAAGTCTGCCTTTTATGGCAGATTAGATGCCTGTTGATAATGTCACCCTCTGCTCCACCCACTAAAATTCCAGCATCCTGGGACAACAGGATCTGAGCTCTCAAGTTTGCTGGCCACATCCAGACCCATAGTGACTTTCCTGCTGATGATTTGACAGGACATTTCTCGTCATATTATTGTTTTGGAGTTATGGAGATAGAGAAACTACCATCAAATTTTAGATTTGTCTTTCCATTTGAGGTATTGACTGGGGGAATAGAGAGCAGCATGGTAGCAGGGCACCAAATGGGGCACCTAACAGGATGGTGTTTGTCTCCCTTTTGTCATCTGCTTTGCTTCACTTCTCCTTCACCTGAGCTTTCTCTGTGGCTGAAAGTGAAGCTCAGGGTATGAGGTTCTAGAAAAAATTGCATGTTGTTGGAGGGAGGAATGAAGAGAGGTTGATTAATGGGTAAAAATTACAATTAGGTGGAAGAAATAAGGCAAAGAAACAGAAACTCATTGTACTCCCTCCCAGTTCTTGACATGGAGAAATTTGGGCTGAAGATCAGACCATATATAACAAACTGCTACTGAATTTTGCTTTATAACAGTTCTTTGTGTGTAGCTTGCTCTCACACCTTGTTGCTGTGTTATCACCACAAAGTAAAATGCCTAGACAAAATAGACTTTAACTATTCTTGGATCTACCAGTCTTATTAACCACTTAAACTCTATGCTGATCTTTTGAAATGATAATGTTGTCAGGAAAAAAATAAAATTTATTCTTTAAAAATGTTGTTAATGATTGGGGGTAATCATTCTGAGCAAAAAGAGACACTAAGATGATTAAGTGATGCTCCAGTTATCTCAGAATATCAGCAGATGCCTCAATGACCAAGAATGATGCAGAACTCCTATATTGTAAGGCAAGTGGCTAATCTCACCCTGCTGCACAGAACATGGTACAGAATAAGGAGCCTGATTCTGCTAGTGTTAGCTTTTCTCATCGTTAGCCTTATAATAGAGGCTACAATTATTTGGAGAGAATTGTCAGACATCTCCACTCAAGCCAAGAGATGTTTTGAGACATCCATGCAGGAGATGGACCTCTGTCTCTGGGGGAATGGCAAGGAGGGACTCTCAGACTCACCCCTGAGAAGTCATGGTGCGGGGAGTCAGTGGTGGCAGAGGGCTGAGCTGGGAGTGGGCAAGGGAATCAGTGGGGAAGTGCAATTCTCATGGCCAATGGGTACCTAGATGATGGAAAATGCACAGGGTATTCTTGAGAAATATTCTGCCTGAGGTAACTGGAGCAGAGATATGGACCTTCTAGAAGGATCATCCAATGATGATCCTAATTTCCAAGAAAGTTGGCCACCCTCAGCTGTGGCCAACTGTGGAGAGGCGGCTGTGGAGAGGCAGTAGGATATACTGCTTCTGCTATATTTGTTGGGAATTTATAGCCAAATAATAAGTCATCAAATCTGAAATGTCCAATTTTGAATGCAAACTTTAGTTTATTATATCTTGGTCAAGAAGCAGTACAATTAATCAATATATGTGCCTAAACTATCAATACAGTTTTACTATCTTTACAGCAGCTTCTGTATTCCAGCAGCAAAGAAGCCTAGAGAGCAAGTGGTGATGAAATATCACCAGGCATTTTCCACAGCTTGTTGAGAACTGAATATTTTTCCTTGAAAGACATAGTTGTTGGTACAAGGTCTGGTGAATATAGTGCATGACAGAGAGTTTCTGTAGTTTGAGAAGCATTGTTTGTGCAATAGTATTATCTTGAAAGAGGACTGGCCTGTCTCTATTGATCAATCTCGGCTGCTGAATTGCAAGTGTCCTCATCATTTCATCCAATTTTTTGCTGTAGACAGTTACTCTGATGGACTGATCAGGTTTAATGAAGCTACAGTGGATAGGTAACACCAGTGCTGGACTATTAAACAAACATCATCAGCATTTTTTGATGAATATTCAGCTTTAGACTGTGTTTTGGCACTTCATCTTTACTTAATCATTGTGCCTAACACTTGTAATTGTCAAAAAAATCCATTTTTCATCACACATAACAATATGGTTTGCCTTTATGTCATGACAGCAAGGAAAGGCAAGACTTCAAGAAAATGTCTTTTCCACATGATCTAATTCATGCAGAAGTCATCTACCTAGCTTCTTAACCTTGCTTATTTGCTTCAAATGGTCCAATATTGCTGGAATAGTAACATCAAACTTTGCTGCTAATTCATGCCTAGGTTGAGATGAATTCACTTCTGCTACAGCTTCCAGCTCATCATTTTCTACCTTGGTCTCTATTGCCCATGTGGCTCATTTTCAAGATAAAAATCACCAGAATGGAACTTCTCAAACCACTGATATACTGTGCACTCATTAGCCATCTTTCCCAAATGCTTCATTGATATTTTGAGCTGTACTACGTTAATTCTATGATGGAACTCATATTAGAAAATAACACAAATTTTTGACTTATATGGTTTCACAAAACTTGCTCTTAAAAAAACTGAAAGATAATCACAAGCCAAAATCCAATTTGATATTTTCACACCCCCAAAATAAAAATAAACAAGCAAAAAAGCTCCACCTCCCCCCAAACCAAGAAGTGTCAAAGTGAATTGTCAGAGATATCAACTGGCAAGCTTAGTACTTAAGGAAATCAGATATTTCACACTTAATAACCTAATATATGTACAGTTATGTGCCAGAAGGTGAGTTTTAGAAAACAGATTTGTCTATAAATTTGAGCCACAGATTGGCTGAATAGAGAACAGGATCACAACACGGCAGCCGGGCAGGAAATGGTTTCTGTCTCCTCTGCTTTCTTCACCTTGTACAGCAGCTTTCTCCTGGCTGAAAGAGAAGCTCAGTGGAGTTCTACAGTCTTCTGCAAACAGCATAATCTTTGCATTTTAGAACCTCTACATGGTGAGGTGGGAAGTACTAAGGCTATGACTCAATAGAAAAAGGTATCATTCACAACACAGGGGAGGGAGCTGTCCATGGTTCTTGCCAAGTCCAGTACGGGATTCCCATAATGTTAAGCCACATAGGAAGCTGGCATGGGCCTGGGAGGGCAGTCAATCTAATTGGCTTAATTTTACTTCACAGATAAGTAAACTGAGGCAGAAGAGGTGAAGTGGCAGACCCAAGTCCACAGAATTACTGCATGGTGGTGGGTAAAAAGGGACAGCGACATCACTTGTGAGTTACACAGGTATTTAATGCTGACATCTCACTGAATCCTCAAAAGTTGTCTGTCAGGACAGATAGCACTGCAGGGAGCCCATGGGCTCTGGGACTGGTTGCAGATTCATCATTAAATTCCTTATTAGTGGTATTTTAATCTCTCTCCTTGATACATTTTGGAAATTGATTAAATTAGATCTATTTCTCAACAATAAGTACAACTACATAACGAAATTAGGGGAAAACATCTGCTACTAAAACCACAGACAAAGTGTGGGAATTTAGATGTTTATTTATTTAAAATGTATTTATTCTTTTTTTCTTTACCTGTTCGTCGGTATCTTTTCTCTGGGCCTCTGTCACTCAGAGGAACGTTGGTTCTAGGTCTACCTCTCCTTCTCTCTGAGAAAACAGGAAAAATATTAAAAACAGAGGTGGTCAGGAGGCACACTATATATAACAGCATTTTTCAAAAACACCATTTAACTGTAACTTTTCAAGAGCCTAACACACAAAGAAAAATATATAACATATGCCTTTGCAATTTCCAAGCCTTTGCTGGTTAATCCAGGTTTATCCTAGATTTCATTTTCTTTATCTTAACATTAATCCAAAATAATTTACCCACACATTAATAAAAAAAGATTAATACAAAGTTCATTTATCCCAAGGAATACTGTGAAAACAATAATAATGGGAGCTAACACTTAAGTGCTGTTATGCGCTATACATTAATACAAGAACTTTACATCTACTGATTTATTTCTAAGATAGAGACTTTTACTACCCCCCATTACCAATGAAGAAACTGAAGCATATAGGGAGTGACTCTGTTTGGAGCCAGGTAGAAGCCCACTGACATAAAGAGCCATCCCTCCTCCCCACAGGCATTCCTGGGGAAGGAGAGGCTCAGTCCAGAAGAATCACTTGGGTGGATGAGGTGATGAAGTGTGAACCTTCGGAGTGCTGGGAGCCTAAGAAGTGGTAAGTAGCCATTTTCTGTACTGGGGGAACTTCAGCTGGTCAGTTCTACGTTGGATATCTCTAAATAACTCACAAATCAGTGTGGCTTGAGCATCTACCACATCAGCTGGATTAATTCAAGTTCCTTCTGTGTCTCTTTGTTCTGCTGTGGGCTGCATTCATTAGTTACAACATGCCTTTCTCACACTTTCCCTGTTCCCTCATTTCCTAATCGGGGCTGACATGCCTCTGACCACATAGCTCTGTGCTCCATCCCAGGTTCCAGATCCTACCCTTGCCAAAGGATCTTGCCAAAGGTGACCCGAAGACCGGGTTTGAATCAACAGAGAGTCTGAGTTTTTTCCTTGTTTGAGGGAATCATTGCAAATGTGGAAAGTAGGCAGATTATTATTTTTCACCCATAATTCTTTCTTTCTTCCATGAGAATAAAACTACAGCTGAACTCAAGAACACCTGGCCAATGGGTACATTTCTTAGCTTCATTTAGGTAGCTCTTGGCCCTGTGGCCAAGTTTTGACCAGTGGGATGTAAGCAGAATATTCTAGGTCTTTCAATTTAAAAAAATAAATAGCACATTCTTCTGTTCATTTATTTCACTCTCAATGGTTGGGAAACAATGACAGCCTTCCTGGATCAGGAGCTGGAAACCACATGTTAAAGAAGACAGATTCTTCCTACCACTTCTGTACCATTAGATGAAAGAAAAATAAATTATTTGGTTATTAGGATCTGTATTTTAGGATATTTTTGGTACAAAGACTTAGCCTTTTACTCTAAATAATCCATTAGTTTTAAAGACATCATGCCTGGAAGGAGATCTGGGGGCTTCAGCAAGGATGGGGTCTGGTAGGAAGGTCTGGACCAGAGCAAGGTCAAAGGAATGAGAATTAACATTTTTTTCTTACCTCTTTGGAGACTATTAACACTATCTATGTGTCTTCTCTTTTCCTCTTCAAACAGAAAAGAAAGAAAATAATCCTTTAGAACAATAAAAGATTTACATGCTTTGAATGCTGGTTGTGGGGTTTTTTTGTGTTTTGGTGGAGTAGAAGAGATGGGCTCTAGCTCTGTTGACCAGGCTAGAGTGTAGTGGCATAATCACAGCTCACAGAACTCTTGGGCTCAAGCAATCCTCTTGCCTCAGCCTCCCAAATGCCTGGGACTACAACAGGCATGGTCACAATGCCTGCCTGGTTAATATATTCTTAATTTTTTTGTATAGACATGGTCCCGCTATGTTTCCCAGAGTGATACCTATATTTTATTCACCTATACTTGGCTTTATCTCACAGGTTACTTTCATCATCACAAAATACCTGCTCTTTTGACACTGACTGAGAACAGAGCCAGCTCTGTTACCTGTGCCAGTTCCTTATCAGCTGTCTATATTGCAAGACTATTGATCAGTCACTGGCTTTATTTCTATGTTTCTGGAACAACTTCTGAGTGGTATCTTGAAAATCATTCCTCTTCCCCTGCAAAACTCCTTAAGTACTGGTATATTTAGATCCTATGCATGTTCATGTACAAATACTAGAAGCTTACTCTGACATCTTTTCATTTGGTGACACCAGCCTGTTTTTTTCCATTCTTTCTCCTCAGATTATTCACTCAGTGTCTCTCCCCTTTATTCAGAAGCCCAACTCTTCTTTCTCTTTTTCCACGTCAAACTCGCTGAAAACAGTCAAGAGTTTCTACAGAAGTCTGCAAGTGTGGTGTCTATGTGTATCTGTGTCTGCAAATGTTTTGGGGGAGAGGTAAGGAAATAAGAGCTTTTCCTCCATGCATGTAGGAAAATGAAGATAATATCATACTTGTCTTCTCTACTGCAGGCCAATGGGCTGCATCTCTTCTGACACTCTTTGCATTCATTTGAATAGCTTTGAATTCACAGAACATTGACGACAAATCAGGAAATGATAAACTATAGACAGTGACCAGAAAAGCAGGGAACACACGTCAGTGTAGTGATGCTGAACTCTCCCAGCCCTCAGATGAGCTGAGAACAAAATATACTGACTCCAGTGACTAACATCTTGTGTCCAATAGAAATCTGCTTTCTTTTCTTGTCTGGCCACTCCAAATTCTCCTTCTTTCTCATTTATATGCCCACTCTTAAGCTGCTAAAAATTTCTACCTCCATTTCTCTGATTCTGTGAGCTTCTCCCCAACCCCTCAGATTTTCTTGTCTCCTATGTCGCTTTTTCTCTCTTCCTTTTCTTCTTTATTTCTATGCTCATCCTTCTTGGCTTTAACTTCCTAAGCATTTTGCATAACATATAGCTGACTCCATCAGCACAAACTTATTCTTTAAAGACTTTCTAAGCTTGTAACTAAGGACAATATTGTCAATGGATAGAAGAACACTCTACTTACAGCGCTCTTTCAAATATAAAGGGTGGTGATATAGAATAAGTAAATTACTCCAATGCATAGCAATTATAAATATGATAGTATGTGGAAAGAAGACTATTACATTAGTAATTTTACTAATATAATTTTGCTACATTTTCAATGAATGATTTGATTAGACCTGTTAAATTAAACAGCAGTATGTACTGCCTTCCTGACACCTTCCATTTCCCAATAGGACCAGTGAGGATAAATGCAGAAAACGACATCCTAGTTGTATAGAATCAAGGCATATGAAGCATGTCCAGAATAAAATTCATTAGAAAAACAGAGCTCTAGATTTAGACTCTGGATATTCTATAGTTCGAGGGTTGCAACTCCAATATTCATACCTGGTGCAGTCTGGAGTTGTGAGCAAGTGGCTTCTTGGATGTCCTCTCTTTCACTTGATTCTGAAGAGTCATAGTTACTGATCACTGCTCAAAAGAATAGAATTCTTTAGGGATCTCAGTGTGCAGTGAAGGAAATTCCCTAATAAGAAACTTGGAAAAACACTGAAAATCCATGAACATCCTGGGCTACACCCAGGCCAAGTTGGTTTCCCTTCTCAGTTACATGCTTTATAGGTAAGTGATGCTTCACTCTTGTCCCCACAAACAATTCCCTGCCAAGAGGCAATTTTGTTCTCCTGAACTGCTCTCTTTTACTTCCTACCCTTTCTCCCTGACATTCCACATATCCCTCATCTCAGTCTCTCTTTTCCATGAAGAGAGACCTTGAAGATCTTATGTGGAAGGTGGTGAGCCTCCTCTACCCCACCACCGCCCTAATGCCTTCTTGAACTATTTATAAGGCTGACAAATCATCTTTTTTCATGTCTGAGCCACAGATGCATTTGAGGACTATATTTTAGAGCACTTTATTTACACTAAGATAAAAGAATGTACATTGTCTAAAACATGAAGTAAATTTACATTTTACTCAGAAAGATACAGTGAACGATTACAATGAATGCTTACTTTTTAACACATTGTTCTTTTTTAAAATTTCCAATTAATATGAGGGTATATACAAGTAGGTCACATTGATTACATTTGTAAAGCAAAGTCTAAGTTGTAGTTGTGTCTCTCACACAGGAATTGTGCCATATACCCACACACTGTTCCTGCTGGGGAGGAATACTCTGACCTCCTTCCTCCTCCCCCTTTTTGTATTCAATTGAATTTTTCTCTCAAGTGAACACTCTGCTATTAATCTACAAGTTTCAAATTAGCATTGAGTACATGTGATGCTTATCATTCTGTTGTGATACTTAAAGAGAGTATTCTCCAAATCCATGCAAGTTGTAACAAAGAGTGCAAAATCTCCATCTTTTACGGCTGAATAGTAGTCTATGGTGTACATATACCACAGTTTATTAATCCATCCATGTGTGGAAGGGCACTGGGGTTGTTTCCACATCTTTACAGCACCTGTTTTTTGGGGACCTTATAATGTGGATCATTCTCAGTGGGGTTAGGTGATATCTCAAAATGGTACTGATTTGCCCTTTTCCAACAATTAGAGATGATGAGCATTTTTTCATGAGTTTGCTGGTTCTTAATAACATCAAGATAAGGAAACATAAGTATTTGTTCTTAGATCTCTTCCTATTGTGATTTCACTAAAGGAACATGTTTCTAATATTCTCTCAATCTAGAAAGTAAAAAGGGAAAACAAATCACCAATTTGTACACTAAAGAGTTATAAATCATATGACAACTCATGCTGTCGATAGTGTTGAGATCATACAACATTTTGATAATTGTTTCTCTCCTTGTACAAAGGAAAAGACTTAGATTCAAGATGTTAATCTTGTCTTTCCTTTAATTTTCCACTAGACTTTGTAGATGATCTTAAAATATTTTTGATGGTGTTTTCTTATCTAGGCAACAAAGACAACACTATGCTGCTTACCCTTCTGGCTACTGTAAAGAAAAAGGTAATATTTGCAAAGGTCTTTTGAAAAATCGCTCTATAAGCCATGACTTGCTGAAGAATGCCATCAAAAACAATACTTCATGTTTCAGAATACTTTATTTCAAATCTTTATTTCTGCTAACAATAGATAGTTGGATGGATTTTCTTTTGACACTATTCACAGCTTGTGATCAGATGACAAGATCGTCCAGTAAAGCATATTTAGCTTTTTTGTTCCCTATAGAAATCACTGCGTAAATCTATCACCCTATAGGCATAGTAACTAGTCAGTTTTAAAAATGAACTCATCACTTTGCTCACCTATTTCTTCCGCATCATATATATATTGATTAATAGACTCTGTCAATTAATAAGCTTACACTAAAAAATACACTTATGACAGTTTTTGTCTCCTTGCATTTCCCATAAGAGTGAAGTTAAATAAATGCAGAAAATGAGATTCTGGGATAAACTGGATCCATAGTACAGAAAGGGCTGAGAATAAAACACATTAGGAAATTGTAACTCCTCATTCAGATTCACACAGCCCAGGCCTTGCTCTCTCTCCCTTCCTTACCAGGCTCAGTTTCTAGTGCTTGGTCAAAGACTAGGGGCTCGTCTTCATCACTAGATTCTTCAGCGTCCTTGCTGCTGATGCCTGTGCAAAGTAGCAAAACCCATTAACAGTTTCAGGTGTGACCAAAGAGCCTACACAGCAGGAAATCCCACAGCAAGAGCACTAGGTACCTCCCAGCACTTTGGGAGGCCCAGGCAAGAGGATCCCTTGAGGCCTGGAGTTTGTGAGCAGCCTCTGCAACATAGGGAGACTCAATCACTACTGAGAATGTAAAAATTAGTCTGGCATCACGGCCCATGCCTATTGTCCCAGCTACTCCAGAAGCTTTGGTAGGAGGATCATCTGAGCCCAGGAGTTCAAGGTTACACAGAGCTATAACCACACTATTGCATTCGAGCCTGGGTGCTAGAAGAACAACCAGTCATGAAAAATAAAAGAGTACTAGGAAGAACTGGGAAGCTAAGTTAACTCAAGTTTCTGGTCTCCTCCTTGAAAGAATGTGACCTACAGGTTGTTCCAGGTCATAAACAAAAGCTGATAAAATTTACATACAGGGCCGCTTTGCCCATTCATTGGCACTGTTCACACTCCCACCCTTATCCTACTTTTCTCTCCCTCTTATTTTGTTTCTTAACTTTCCTCTTGGTTCTGCCCAACTCCCCTACTTCTGTCTCTGCTCCTGGGATTGGTATCTCTTTATTCCTCTCCTTGTCATAACAGGTTTCTTTCTCTATCTCCTCTTGTAATTATCTTGGATCCCTGATTTTCTTTCCTTTTCTTTAACTGCTCCCCTATGCCTTCCTCACTTTCTTTAGAAATAACTTCTATGACATCAGTACTTATCACCTCTGTCTTTGGATCACTTTCCAATTCCTATCAAGCTGAGGACTCACTGCTTGAGGTGCTGGCTCCCTCCCCTTCCTGCCTCCATCCAAGTTGCCTGGATTGCCTCAGTGGGACCTGATGAAGAGCCCCAGCCCCTTACCTGGTGACCTGTGACTCACAGCCCACAAATTTATCCCACCAGACTTACCCATTATGTTAGATGCCTGGTTATGGTTAATTCTTGCTTCGGCTTGTTCCTCAACATCTAAGTTAAAAAATGATTTGTTCTTCATTATGTCCACTAGATACACAGAGCAGGAATTACTTTGAATTCTTTGGATGGGTAGGTCTTCCCCTATATCAAATTGTTAAGAAGCAAAGCCTTTCATTTGTGTCTGTAGTAGGCCCTTCCCTGCCATTAAGAACTCCCTCCCTCAACTTCTTTCCTGGGGAGAAAGCCTCACACCCCACTTCCTTTTTATTCTGTTGCCCCACTCTATCCCTTTCTTCATGTTCTCTTGATTTTTTTTTTTAGACCTTCCAATTAACCAATCCTTCTAACCCTTGAAGCCCGAATTTTTTTTTTTTTTTTGCCGTTTTGAAAATAAAAATTACATAATCACTTGAGGCCAAGAGTTTGAAACCAGCCTGAGAGACCCTATATGTACAAAAATAGAAAGAATTAGCCAGGTGTAGTGACTCATGCCTATAGTCCCAGCTACTTAGGAGGCTGATGTGGGAGGATCACTTGAGCCCAGGAATTCAAGGCTGCAGTGCTATGATTGTACCACTGCACTCCAGGATAAGTGATAGAGCAAGACCATGTATCTAAATACATAAATAAATAAGCAAATAAAATGAAAATTATAGTTTCAGAATAAAATACATAGTTCAGTGTAGGTTTTGAATGATCATAAGTAAACATATCACCTGGGTCAAAAAACAAGATTATCTCAACACCTCAGAAGCCTGCTAGTGACACCTCCCAGGCTCCCTCCCACCTCAACCACCATGTTGGCTTACAATGCATAGATTAATTCTAGTTGTTATGTAACTTATATAAATGACATCATCCTCTCTTTTCTCTGACTCTCTCTCTCCCTCTCTCTTTTCTGTGAATACATATCCTTAAAAGAAGCCAAATTTCCACAAATTTACATATATATTTTATTCAATATGCTTTGTGAAAGTCATGTATATTCATTTTCTATAATTGTTTTCACAACTGTATAGAATTCAATTATAGAAGTAAGCCACGAAGTACCCATTTGTCCTGTTTCAAATGTTTGGCTTTTATAAATAATTCTGCTATGAAAATGTTCTTCTATGTGTTTTGAACACAATACACATTTCTGTTGGTTTCTACTGAGGAGTTTAACTGTTGAGTTCTAGGACACGTATATTTTCAACTTTGGAAGATACTGTTTCCAGAAGCATAGGCAAAGGCAGAGAGGTAAGAGATAGCATGTGGCAAACTCAAGAAACTAACAGACATCTGGTGTGGTGGGAACGTGGGACAAGGTATTGAGAGGGAAGTGATGGAGAATGTGCCACTGCATAGTCAGCGTCCTTCAATATGTACACCAAGTAACATTGATATAATGCTGAGAACCACAAGAAGGCACTGGGTTTAAACAAGAAGGACATGAACTGCTTTCCATATTTGAAAGGTCTACTCAGATGAAGTACAGAGAATGGACTTGAGGGGAGCAAGATTGAACATCAAGGCCAGTTCCTCTAGTGTTAGTGAGAGTCACAGGGATCTGGGTGATTGTGCTGAAGGTGGAGAGAAATGGGCAGAGTGGGAGATACTTTAAAGTTGGAATTAACAGACAATATTTATTTTAGAAAATAAAATGATGGTTGTTTTAAGCCACTATGTTTTAGAATGCTCTGTTACATGACATAGCAATAAGCAACTGATACAACCTCCAAAGAGAGATGTTCTTCTGACCTTTGGATAAAGGTCTTCAAGCACTTGGAGAAATGAGCCTAGTGGACAGGTCTAGGCTGGAGATGTGTGTTCAGGAATCAATACATAGCAACTGAGCCATGGAGAGGATGAGAG